CCTTTTTCTCTACACTGGCGGTTTGCTGGTGAACGGATCCAATGGGACACTGGTGGAGTGGAGCGAGTTTGAGGGTCTGATTCGGTGATTGCTTAGCTGTCTGTGAAGGATCTGTCTCTGAAGCTGGTAGAGATGGAAGGTGAGTTTGCCGCTTGGCATGCCAGGTGTAAAAGCAATGTTTTTTTGATTGTTTATCCACCTGTTACTATCATTTATTCATTATACCATGTATTTAATATAATGTAAACTAACCATTACTAATAGAAGATAATAATATTATTATTATTTAAATAATGAAATATTGATAGCGAAGATTATAATAGCAAAAAGAAAAGAAAAAGAAAGAATTAAAAATCTTTATTATATGTGATAGTCAAATAAATTGACTTGTTATTGATAAAAAGATGAAATCTATAGAAGTATCTAATAAAGATAATTCAGCATTCTCCAGCATAGCTTGAAATTTATTGGGGGTTCCGATTTCCCTTTGTTTTGCATACAACTGTCAGCATCAGTTTTAATCTTCCTACTCAGGGCAGGGTATGATCAGTTAACATTCGAATATAAAGCCCTTATATATATGCAGATTCAAGTTCCTGGGAATCGAGATTCGAGAGTAAATTATTTTGCTGCATAATACATATAACCTACAGTACCTTTATTTCTCTATATTTTCGGGATCGTGGTCAGATTATATAAGCAGTGACGACACATCACTATCATATGCGACAGCTTAAAGTTGGTTAAGCGTTCTGGATGTAGATTTATATATCATGCTTGAGATGAGAACATGCGTTAGTCTTTTGGATTTCTGCACAACCGGCATTCCAGTTACTATTACATATTTACAGTATTTGCTGTTGTTTATTTTATTTTATTCAACTCAACTCAATCTCTCGCAAAATTCTGATTTTTTACCTAAAACTTTTAAATCTATACTACGTCGTAATTGCTGTAAACTAAGTATATCTTTCCGTGATAAACAAATTATCTGGCTGTTATTCGATAACTCAGTTATTGTGTTAAGAGCGGTTAACTCCCTCACTAAGTTCATTCATATCTTGCTCATTAGTCTCAGATAGGACAATTTCAATAATGTCTTCGTCATTTACCATATTTTGGGTTTCTTTTTATTTATGTTATATGCAAGTCGTAAAGAACGTCTTTATATGAAATCGGTACGTAGAGATAAGGAAAATCGGAAGAAACAGAGATGACTTTATTTAATCAACAATTGTTGGTTGCACAATTGTCCGTCCAAAGAGGGTTAAACTAAGTGGACTGAGGTTCATCTGCCGGACACACAATTGCTGATTGGAAAAAAAAGTGTGACACGACGCGAAATAATATTGACATATTAATATTGTCGATGTGACTAACTTAACATATATATGCATTATGCTAAGCGTATATATATGTACTTTCAAATCAATACTAACAGGAAAATACAGAATGGGCTATAAATCATCATCATCATCATCATCATTATCATTATTATATTAGTACCCGGGTATAAACTTGAAGGAGAGTACATCTCATGGGGGAGGGTACACATGTTGGAGTTTACGGTATATCATGGGGGGGCTCAGATTACAGATAATTTAGTGGTAACTAATTGCAATTAAAGTATAATAGATCAAGGGGATAAGGAAAGTGTGTTGTACAAAAATACCAGCTAGTGAAATCAACGATCCCGTAGATAACACTACAAAAATCCTATAGAATTGTCAACTTGATAATTCAGTCCAGATTTTCCTCAACAACAGAAGGAGCAATTATCGAAACAGGAAATGTCTTTGAAAATTTCATTGCGAATACAACTTTATAGAACGATACTGGGATTATGCAAAACGGGAAACTAGACGCCTTTGTAACTGACTGACAGAGACAGCTTCCTAAATTGTACCTATGACCACAATTCGCAAGTTTGTTCGTAAGTCATGGCTACAGAATGGGCTGATACTAAGTTCAATAAATTTTTGTAATTCCATTGGTCTATCAAATAAGGATTGTCGCCAGAAATTGAGTTATGACTTCCAGTACCATAGTAGATTATTTAGCTAAATGGGAGATTTGGTAACCATGATTATTTTTGGAAAGGGAAAAAATGTGGGTTATTCGCTATTCACTATTCGCTATCCGCTATTCACTATTTATTTATTCGCTATTCACTATTTGCCATACACTATTCGCTATTCGATTTCACTATTCGCTATCCGCTATTCACTATTTACTACTCATTATTTATTCGCTATTCACTATTTGCTGTTCACTGTTCGTTATTTACTATTCTTATTCGTTGTTTAACAAAACATTGTTACTCGAAGAGAAAAATTTATCACTCGTACAGAATTCGCCAGGAGATATGTGAGGCTTACAGTTCTTATACAGTATTTACATAAAACAACAATAATAAGTAAATGATGATTTATTACTATAATCACGTATACAGAGATTACTTCTTCAGCGATGATTGCTTTTTGGCTTTATCTATTAAATACTCAAAAATGGATATCTTATGACGCAGAATATTCAGTTCATCTGAAGTAAATACTTCGTCAGGTGATTGTTCTTGAAACTGATCAGCGGCTTCTGTTGTCTTAATATTAATATGGTGTTACATTACAAAATGTGGGTTGCACGTGCTGTGACTAAGGGGAAATTTTCGTTCCTCGAACAGTGAGACAGTGACTATAAGCAGAATGTGCCTATTACTATATGGAGTAAATCTATAATATTAGTTGGTTCCAAGAAAAGTGTAGGTTGTGACTATATAGGAGTGTGCTTTTATAGGGGTGACTGCAGATAGTGACTTAGTATTAGCCGGAGCAATCCAATGGTTGACCATATTTACAATGACATGTATGAATATAATAATAATTCGATCGGGATCTTCGGGTCACACAACATGGATGAATTATCCGTTACGCATTGCCCGGATTGTCTTGGCAAATTGTTCGTTGTCCCAATCAAGCAAGATACTCGAGAAAAAAGTCGAAATGTGAAGAATGACAAAGAGTGCGTAATCCGACACTAAGATATCTCAAGCACTTGCATAACTCATCTGGTATTGATGAACAAATCATTACTGCAAAATCTGGGGATAATTGGCAACAATTACGTCTACGTCACCTTATCTACCGTATACATCAATGGTCTTGTGATTACTGTTATTATGTGAGACAAACCGGATATATATGAAATCTCTTATACCTCTTGCTTTTCCAAGTCCGTTAAATCGGATTTTCTATTAAATAATGAAACCAGTTTTTCGACACTTATTTACATAATAATGTCGATTGGATTACGTCAAACGGATATGTAAAAGATGCACAAGTCGGTCCATGCGTTAGTTTCTGTATTAATATGGCCGAATTGTAACCTCCGATCTTTGGTCGTCCTGATTTGATCAACAAAAAAACAGTTAAACATTGTAAAGTGAAATACTGTATGTGGGTTTAAAATGTCATACTCGCATATGACTTATAGACAAGTCGTCTTATCAGCACGTTTTTCATTTATCTATTATTATTAGTTATGCCTTGGCCTTTGTATTTTCAAACGGCTGATTGCATTACTGATCCCCGGATGCAATAACCTTAACTAATCAAAGGTTATTTCCATTGTTTACTCAATTCTCCATTACTTTTTGCTAGGTAATACGGCCGATAATTTATTAGGCCCTATTGACCTTTTTTGTAAAAAATGTTGAATACACTGCCTCGAACATATAAAAAGGCGGGCTCCCTGGCTTGGGAAAAACCCACAACAGTCACAACTTTTACTTTTCTTAAAAAAACAATGGCAAAGTTATCAGCATTTGCTACTGTCTTCTTAGCTATTATTAGTACGGCAACGGCTATCGTACCGGGAACATTCTTTGATCGGTTTTTTATGATAATTTTCGAAAATACTAATTTTGATGCGGCGCAACAAAACGCTTATCTAAAAAGCTTGACCAGCCGTAACAATAGTGTCTTTCTGAGTCATTATTCTGGTATTGCGCATCCATCCCAGGTATACTTCAATCTTTATATCTCTCTTGATGTCCAACGATAAAATCTGTTCTGAATTGACAAACAATTATTTCTTCACTGTTCGTATTTAGCCCAATTACATTGCAACACTTTATGGTTCAAACGGCGATATTTTCGACGATGGAGTGCATGATGTGAACGGAAATAATTTAGTTGATCTTCTTGAAGCCAAAGGGATAAGTTGGAAGGGTTATATGCAAGATTATCGTAAGTAGTCTTTAGATTCTACATCTCTCGGTGGCGCTGTCTTTTCTTGCATACATTTACAAAGAATTGTTTTACGCTTGCTTGTATAGCTGGTAATTGTTTCACAGATGCCAAGTCTGGACGCTACGTACGAAAACATAACCCGTTTATCAGTATGGCAGACATCAGCTCCAACCCTGCACGTTGTGCAAAGATTGTTAACGCCGACGAAATTGACGCCGACCTGGCTGCAGACGGCCTGCCACAATTCTCTTATTACGTACCAAATCTGGACAATGATGGCCACGACACCAGCTTGGACTTTGCAATGAAATGGTTCCAACCTTGGTTTGAAGAGAGGCTCAAAAATCCAAACTTTACTAATGGCACACTGTTTCTCATTACTTTCGATGAGGACGAAACGGTTACCAATCATATCTTTGCCAGTCTTCTCGGTAGTCCTGTTACGTCGGGTGCTCATGAGGATACTACAAGCTATAGTCATTATTCGATATCGAAAACTCTTATAGACAACTGGAAATTGGATAATTTGGGGAGGAACGATGTCAATGCAACCGCCTTTACTCAATTCTTACAACATTCTTAATCTGGATAATTAGTAATTTCGATAAATAATTTTACATTTAGATAGCTTCACAGAACATTGTAAGAAATGCACTTAGACTAGATAAATTAATGGGAAATGCAATAATTACATCCGGGTTTAATTATCTAATAAACTTGAAAAGAATCGCTTACCGTATAGTTTCTGTATCCTCTGAACTCGCATTTTTTCAATTAATACGATAAAAAATTGGGTTTATTTCTTCAATCGAGAAAGCTTTGCCTTGCAAAAGGTAAACTATGCACGAAAAAGTGATCGAAAGTTGAAAGTTATAATCGACCGGATACGCTATTATTTAATCAACTACGCACATGAAATCAATAAAGTTGACTAAACAACATCTTTCGATAATGACGCGAGCTGGAATTAAAAAAAGTATAAAGTTATATTAATTCTTAAAACATGTGATTATAAACGCGGTTTAATATCTTACCTAATTAGAGATTTGCCACTACAAGACAAGTAACCATTACTTATTTAGTCATAAAAATATCACACAGTTTTTCCAATCGGACTCATTCAATTAACACTAAACAATGGTAATCGTTGAATCGCCGGAATCAAGAAATCAGAATTGAAGACATGTCGCAACCTGCGTCGGCTGGAGGTAAACAGCACGCTAGGTAGTTGCGTTCTTGATACATTTCATTGCATTGATTTATATCCTCCATAATGCATTTTTTGTTCCAAGATAAATATTTCGATACATTCCAGGCTATCTCAAGAATTAAAATGGAGATGGATATCGACTTTACAAATTTGCCACTTTTATATCTGAAACAAGTAAGTTGGGAAATATTACGTTTAATTCCGTAACATCTTTCTGAAATGAATTCACTTTATCGCACAAACAGTCAACGACGATTCACCTCATGTCTTCAAACGTCGCATTATACATTGGCTAAACTTTTTTAGCCAATGGATACCCGCCCGGTTAACGTCGATTATCATGGCATCCAAAATTATACAGATGCTAGCACAGCCATTAAACAATTAAAATTTAACGACGATTGCTTCCAGATGCGTTACAAAAATTCTTCCGTCATATAAACCAGACTTGGTCAATGAGATTTAAGAGCTCATTTTGTTCCTCATCAAAAAAGGAAACGAATGTGAACACAAAATACGCATGAAAAATGTTAAAAAAAAAAAAATAAAAATAAAAATAAAAATAAAAAGAAAGAAAGAAAGAAAGATCGACGGACAGTTCATCATCACTTGATTCAGAGCTTGTTCCATCAGGAAAGTCTTCACTATCGCTAGAAGAATCTGCAAGTAATAATAATAGTGCTTGTTGAAGTAGTAGCAGAGACTTATTCATGGACATGACGATATTCTTTCCTTTTTTTTCGCTTGTCAATTATGGCCTTTAACAAAAAAGGATTGTAGGACAAGTTGAGCAATTTTTCAAATGAGACATAATAAACCAATGCCATGTCAAACAATGACATAGATTTGTAAATTGAGGAATATCAGCATTGCAAGTCGTTGTCTTTTACTTAGCATCGTCAGGAAATAAACATGTCTAATAATTATTTTAACTTTATTTCTCGCACCAGATTGATGAATTGGGGGAGAGTTACTTGAATAGTATGTCACCCAATCGTCGCACAAACGCCATTCTGACTCAAGAAATCGTAAACCAGGCGATTGAAATCCTTAGCGGTTCAGACACAAGTACGAATCAAGATATAAACACTGGGTATTGCAAATGTTCAGCGTGATGCATATTGGCGAAATGAAAATTATACTACTCAAAAGAAGTAAAAACCGTGTGTGTTAGAGAGAATATGTACGATGTAATCTGTTCTACACATCGAGATTTACAACACGCCGGCTACAGAATAACATTCGAAGAACTCCAAACACCATTACAGTTACATTCCTAGAAAATTAGTTGTTGTGCACGTAGCATTTGCACGCGTTAACGCAATATCGTAATTATTATATTTTAATTTCAGGAATATCAGGAATATCAGACGTTTACGTGCATTGTGCGAATATGAGTACAAGTCGGTTCCAATCCAAATGGTCACTATATCGAGAATGTCCTTATATCGAGAATTAACTTACATACGACAACTAAGCAATATAAAATTTTCGTTCTAAGATTCCTGTCGTTATAACGAGATGTCGTTATATAGCAGTATAGTAGTGTCGTTATATCGAGACTCACTTGTATACGTGAAATGGTAGGGAGTAGAGTGTGAGAATGTGCAACTAGAGGGCATTTCATCTTTATTCTGATAATATGAGGAATACTGAGGAGGGTCAGATTGAGCAAGACGCAATAGAGGATACGTATTTTTTTTTGTCATAGATTGAATAAACAATGTGCATTCAGCATATGCCGACTGCGTTAAACATTAATTTTCTTTTTATTATTACTATTATGTTTTTTATATTTGCTATTCATAAATAAATTCGCTTGTTCGATGTTCAATGTTACGCTGATATTGATATTATTGTTGCGCATTATGAAGTGAATTCGGAAATGGGTCAGAACATGGATACTACTTTAGCATGACAAGAATAATGAAGAGAAAGCTGTAACGAATAAGCACCAAGAATTCTAAAATAAGGAAAGTGCGTGTTGAGAACGAGCACTTGGAAAAATCTTATTTTTCAAACTATCAATAATCCAGCAATTGATAACTAGTTCAATCCTCAAATGAATACTTGAATGGATTCCTTGTTCGAAAATTACCGACGTAGAGTCAGGCCAAATTGACAACATACATAATCTTATCATTATATCACTTTTTTCGGGAAAGGTTTTTTCGGAACGGTTGTCTTGTTCACCTTACACATCGGGTTGCAGGTCTTACCTTAATAAACTAATTTTTAATGTTGTGATATAGCACGTAATAGCACGTAATTACTGTTTTACTGACACAAAATATTTTTCGGTATTTCCTGAATGCAGTGTAACTGCTTAAAATTACCCAGCCACTCAATGGTGATCACAAAAAGTTTTTTCCCTGACCGAAACGGCTGCACATGGAAATACAAGCCCTCTTAAACAAGGACGATGATGGGAAAAAGATACATCTAATCGAAAAGAAAGTATTATTGCAGCGTGACGGCAACAAGTGGATGGTAGAAGATAAGACTAGATTGAAAGAGCTAAAGCGGACGGATTCCGATTGCTGGTTTTCTTTAGATAAAGAGATAATAGAGACGATGAAACTGAACAATCAACAGGAAAGCTGGACTCTCCAATGTACTCGTTCTGACTTGGTAATCGAGCTGAAGTCTTGGATAGAAAAACTTCGGAACAGTCGATGTAAAAGCTGGGAAAGAAATGAGTCACTACTTATGAGTGGCTATATATGCAACATGCTATCAAAAAATAGTATTATGCATTCCTTGTACGAGAAATTATGGGGGGCTGACTATGGGAAACTTCTATACGGGCCTTTGATGGATACTCCAGAGTCACGGGAACTCTCAGGATTGGTAAAGGAGATTGACGTTGAGGGCAACCCTGATCACTTGCGGCGACTTTGCATAGCTGGTCAGCGTGCAGTTATGTTAGCGGAGGTCATAGGCGTCAACAAGTTTATGCAAATTAAGTCGGCCACGCAGGCATTTAAAAACTTTACTGAACAGACTTGGGAATTATTCATGTGTTACATCACCGGGAAACAAAACGAGGACGTTTTTTACGTTATGCTACACGAGTCGTTATCGCAAGATTCATCCTCCGATCCAATTATATATATCTTAAACAATGAGCACGAACTATATATAAACAGTAAAGGTGAACACAAACGTATATCAGCTTCTTATCCATGCAGGAAGTAAGTGTGCTATCTTGTTCTGAGCAATAATGAAAAATCTATCGTCTCATGGAAGAAGACGTATTATGCCAACACTACTTATGCATTACGGGCGATGTAGACGGCATAATAGATAAGACTTTACGATATTTGTTAATATTATTGAGCTCATCATATTTGTTATTAAAAAGCGCTTGGTATTTCCTGAGTGATGCAAACATAATTTCTATTGGGATTGGGATTAGCCATAATGATTACGGCTAAAGTCGAGCACTATTTAACAAAGAAGCTACACGCGCGGTAGTGTGCGCAATGTCAATATGACAAAGAAATTGGTTTTTTTGGCGTAGAAATTAATCTTTTCTTTCAGGCGTGTCCCTGAACCATACATCGCACTTTGGTGTTGCGTTGTGAAAGAATCATCCAAACTAGCAATGCAAGAATTAAGAACTTTTTGTAATGCTGGCATATCGTCTTGCATACCCTCACGGTCTACGTTAATATCACTGTGCTCGTTAATCACCATCAATCACGGGCTATCTTGATTAGGAGTTTTGATAATCTTCATTTTGTTATTTTCATCTAAAATAGATTTAAAGTTTTATGAGATTCAACTCAGCAAGCGGTAATACGCCCGAACGCATCAAGGCACAGCCCGAACACATCAAGGCCGCTCAAAACAGTAAGCCCGAACGCATCAAGGCTCAAGAAACCACTTGCCTGTAGTTTGCTCCACTAAATCTATTTATGCGGTTGATTAGAGAGGTTATTTACAAATACAAATATGTTACATTAGTCAAGACTGCAGAGCGAAACTCAAACGTGTTGTAATGTATTAACAATAACAAAAACTAACCTAGCCTGTGTTGAAACTTGTTAGGCAATAGAATATCTTCAGTCCCTAAAAATACGCAAACATTGCTGACGTCAGTAAAAAGATGCGCAATGGCATATTAATTGGCGTCTCGTGAAAAGTCATTTGTAATGTATTTTGTAGCGTCCTCACCGTTAGTGTGTCTTGTCGACTGTAGCGCATTTTACAGCGTCGTTGGTAGCGAACTTTTTTCCAGGCGTGATCTGGTATTACATCTTGATAAGTGTACGCCAGCTTTAGCCTTCCGAAGTAGCCATAAGTTGCCAGTTTTCTGACGAAACGTGCATATTAAACCGTCTTTGAAAGGAGAATACGTCGAAGAACGTGTTTGACGTCAGTAATGTTTGTCACCCTCCAAGAGGGTTATTTTTAACATATCGACAGTTCTCGTATGGTAAAATAAAACCACACCAGTAATACACACTAGTAAACAAAACTTATTAATGAACCTCAACGACATCAGGTGGACTAATGAAATCTATATGCGTAAAATCCGTTATCAACCAACATACTATCTTAACATTAAGCATCAGTCAAGAAACTGGATGATGTAGGGGTAAACGCCTCATATTCCTGAACAAGCAACGTGATGGTGTAAAGGTGAACGCCTCAATTCCCTAAACACGCAAATGCGATGGTAGGGGTGAACAGAATAGCATTCCCGAGTTCCTTAGAAACAGGGGGTGAACGCCTCATATTCCCGAACACGCAACCGAGTTTCTGATAAACGACATTATTGCTTCATCTCTTGAGATAGAGTCCATATCTCCCTTATTCTATTCCTATAACTAAATGCAACTGACTGCCAATCAGATTTTAGCTTAAATTCAAGAGTTAAACAAAAGTTGATTAATATCATTATGTTCATGAATAATAGGTCTCTGCTGCTACTTCGACAAGCACTGTTACTGGCATGTTTAGTCCTTCACCTGGCAAAAGGTTGATTTTCTCGTAGGAGTTGACATTAACATAATAATAATGGAATCCAGCCCAAATTTGGAAGGTGAAAAAAATCGGAACAGAAACAGGAACATGAAATGAAGAGGGCAAAAAAAAAACCAAAATTTGTATACGTTACTAAAACGTGCATAGTATGCCCAATTGGGAACCAATTTGCGACGCGTTTAATTCAAAATAAACACAAAGATCTCTTTTTTTATTGCATCCATACATAACTTTTTGATACATTATTACACGATGTCTGCTACCAATTACAACGTAAAACTTTATCATATTTGTGGAACAATGGTGTGCGCGATGCTCGCGAGCTGCATACCACTCTCAACAATATATGACAATATAAATAAACTGAAAAAAAAAAAACAGCATGCTGGTGGTAATGATCGCCCGAGAAAAAACACTGGAAATGCCTCGAAAGCACTCGGGCAATACATTCGGCGAGACGTTTCTTGTCAACACGAACTTTGGCAAAAAAGTTGTTAAAAATAGGCGTAAGTGTGACGCATGCAACAATTGCCAACCATCTAAATGACTTTGGATATAAAAAAACCCTCCCAAGGACCACACCTATGCTTACTAATGCCCACAAACAAAAGCGTGTAGAATGGCATCTTAACGACGATTGGAGTCGGAATGTATTCTCAGATGAGATAGCATTCCAACCTTTCGGGACACTGTAGAACGTTAGCATAAGGGTGTACGGCCAGTCCGTTGTAAGATCGAACAAAAATTATGGCGTGGGGTGGATTTTGCATAAATGGGAAAACGAATTTGTTTTGTTTTCGACAAATCATGGATGCCAGATTTTATGTCGAAATTTTACAGCAACATTCCCAGAAATTGACCAAATGCTCGGGGTGGGTAAATGGAGGTTTCAGCAAGATAATGACTCCAAGCATAGTAGTCGTCTTGCTAAAGCCTTTCTTGATGAGAATTCTCCAGAAGTCATGGACTGGGCCATCCAATAGTCCTGACTTAAACCCTATTGAAAACTTATGCGCCATTGTGAAAGGTAATGTAGAGAAACGAATGCCTCAAAATATCAGTAAACTGGAGCAATCTATGGTGGAAATATTCCAGATACTGTTGTAATAAATCTTGTGGACTCAATGAGACGTCGTTGTAAACTTGTTATAGAAAATCATGGAGAGAGAATCTCTTATTAATTTGTTGTTAATAAAATTTGTTGGTTTTAACTTTTAAATAATCATGTAATTTGGTCCATTCATTGTGACACAGTGAATAAAAAACTTATTCCGGGGGGGGGGGGGTTGACACTAATTTGAGCGCCCTGCTTAAATTGGCGGGACGTACTACACATGTACCATATAATTCTCCTGCTTCAAACAAAATTATCCAGGTATGTTGTTTCATCTTCACTAATAAGACAGTTAAATATTGGTCGATACGGCCTTTTGTTAACATCTAGTAATGCTTTGTTTACATTCATATAGACGCTTTATGCAATACCGAATAACAATAAAGTATTATATAATTGTAATGTAATGAGCGAACAACTGCACAACGAATAATACCAGATTACGTAAAATGGTTTTACAAAGTCGACAATAATAGCGCTTCAATATTGATATAAAAGAGTCAGATACAGAGTAGATTGTATTGCTTTTAAAGTGTTGGGTTTTACTGCGAAGAGTTTATAAATCTGACAACCGATAATATGGAACTTTTGGAAAAACAACTTAAGGATTTTCTTAAATCTCTGCGTACGAATTTGAAATTATTAAAGAAAATTGAAATAAACCTACCAGAAAAGCAGACCTTTACGCAAATCGGGCGGATATGTAAATCATGAGAACTTTAAATCCAAATCATTAACGTCAGCGAAGAGGGCAGCATTCACTTTCTACGTTCTTCAAAACACGGATAGAAAAAACTACTTTAATTTTAAATTATCCAGTCAATCCCATGCGTATCTATATATTTTTGTGTTAATTATCAAACCGGATTTATTTGCCAACTGCCAAAAAGAGCAAGAGACTAGCGCCGTTGTATCCCTCGAAGATTATGAGTACACCACCAGACATCGCAAATATGTTAAGAATTGGATGTCAGAAAAAGGTATTACAGTTAACTTAACGGAAGACTGTCTAAAATTGAGACAAGAACAACACTAATCCTTAATTAGTATTTGTTTCGGTATTTGATCACTTTTAAGAGAACAAATTCTGCAACTCAAAGTTGCGCTACAAATCGTCGCCTCTTTCTCGTCGGGTACGCTAGAATTGGTTATGCAGAAATTAGTAATTTAAGTCGGATAATATGATGTCTTTCTGTCATCGCGAAAATAAAAATATGCTATCGAGAAGTCTCATCATCGAATCCACAGCGTTCCTGGATCAAAGCACAACATCCACACCAGAAATGAGTGCAAGCATCCTCGACAATACTGGAGAATATTTACAAACAGATTTATATATGATTTAACAAACAGATAAAATAAAACTTGCCATACCTCGATTCTTTTTTTGCACGAATTTCGCCACGCGTCATAGTAGAAAGACAACAGGCAAAGCCTGTGTACAAAGCACAGCAGTAACAACAAGAATCTGCACCAAAACCCGAATCGTTCATTTTCTCTTTCGTTTCGCGCCCCATCATGCCATGAATTGCATTAGAGAAAAAGCAAAATTGAAAAGCATACTATTCCTGTTAGACCTACGTAAGTTACGCAAGGCAAAAAGCAGGTTTTGATGTAGAGTTCGGGTACGGAGAAACAGTCGAATAGACCAGCTTCCCACCCTCCTTTGACTTCTTGTAAAATTATGTTGTGATTGCCCGTGGGCGATCATCCTGAGTTGCGGTGCATATCCATTTTGTTGCGCCATGTTATAAAGAAATCGGTGAGGTGGAGCTAGTCAATACGATGTTGCAGTGTTATTAATTAGAGTGTATCGTTATTTCAACGAACATATATATACTTGTAATATATAAACGTTGAGATAGAAGATGTGTCCCTTCAACAGACGTTGTGCAGATTATTTACTATGTAAACCTCGTTTAAACCGTATTTTTTACTAATACTAATAGCACCGCCCTCTTCGTTATAACGGGTTTCACTTTGTATTCCTGTCTAACTATTTTTTTGCTAGTATCGATCATATGATTGATGGCATTGTAAACAAAGAAATCCGTTTAAATTTAACTGGCGGATATGTAATACAGACAATTATTAATCATTCGCTGTAAACATATAAATACGAAGAGTCAATAAACCTCCAAATTTCTAAATACAATGGCTGTGAACGTATATAAAGTTTGGGTCCGGCAGGCTAGAGATAAATCCGACGCTTTACGAAATATACAATATTATTGAGGATTTTGACGAAGATTTGATAGTAAAATTACATGCATTGTCAGGAAGTCATGATTTTATGATTTTTGAAGACAGAAAGTTTGCCGATATTGGTGCGGTTTTTGTTAATATCGTTTATGCACCTCACTCGCCTGTTTCGTGTTTTGCTTAACGATCAAATCACTTTTATTCATGGTAAACAGGAAACACAGTCGCTCTACAATACTCGCTAGGCGTTTACAAAATATCATCATGGGCACACATTACCAACGCCCATACAATTCCAGTCGAAGGAGTTATCACTGACTTGCTTGCTGAAATGTCATCGGATGTGCTACCGGCTCTTACACAGACGCTACAGTTGCTAACATAAGAATTTCGTGCACGATTTTATTTAGGCATTTTGTTAACTCAACCATATTGACATACGTGGAAGCACATCGTATATAATTCAAACTTTTGAATAAAACTCGTATAACTGTAAATAAGCCAGTTGAATTACAAGTTTATTCAAAAAAGAGTTTGAGTCTCTAAATTATAAGAAATTGTTAATATTGTAAATTGACTTTATTGATATCA